TTTACTCATCAGCTGAAGGTGTAGAGGTTTTATTTTGATTTAGCATTTGTAGCCTCCAAAATACTTAGGATTTTGAAGCATGTTATCTATGTGAAGTCAGCTCTGATTTTAGTAATAGCCACATAGTTTATATGTTCTACATTTGTCATCCCATTTATTCTTCACCAAAGATCTGTAAGGTAAGTGTGAGTCTTATCTACATTTTATAAAAGAGAGGACTAAGATTTAGAAAGTCTAAGAAAATTATCAGCGTCACTAGGATTTTAAATTTAGGCTGCCTTGTTATAAAGCCCATGCTTTTAAGCACCCTGCTGTACACTCCTTTGGTACCCCCCCCAAAAAAAATTCTTATTCTTAGATTGGCATTCTTATCTTTACAATAAAAAACGGGTAGTAGTGGAATGATTAATTAGATACACTCACTGTTAAATGCTTGCCCAATGCCCAGAATCAGAAGAGAATATCAATGAAATTTTCTGGATGTTAAGATTATATTTGTCACTGTGTACACAAAAATTTAAAACCTAGGACCTCATGATTATTCAGACAATTGTTTCAGAAATTCTCATTTGCTTTATTTGCTATCGTGTAATAGTCTATAGCTTGCGGGGACACATGGGCACCAGCGGGCCATTGTTCACCTTCTTAGTAGACTGATCTAAATAGCAGTTTGGTTTGCCCAGGACAACGTTCTGCTTCCCCTAACTTGTGAAAGGAATATGGTGCTATGGAAGGTTATGATACCACACGGGTCAGAAGTTTTAAACGGTTGGCATCGAAGACATTGTGGAATGAATAATAAGCAATTTTATCCTGAATTATCAATATCAAAAACATACTCTTTTGTGTGGACAGATGTTGTTTAATTTCCACTGTTGTTCTTGTTTTTGGAGCTATTGCTGCTGATATTATTTTGGAAGACTCTGTGATATGTTCAGATTAAAACTCTTTCTTTAACTCTCAGATAGAAGATTATTATTATTGCTATGCTATATAAGAAAGAGTTGTTGAGGCAGATTGGTGCATAGGAGCTGTGTTTCACTTATCAGCTCATAGGAATTTTATTACCACATCTTATCATCAGTGCATCTGTGTGTCAAGCAGTATAGAATCAGAGATAGTCTCTGAACGTTATTTTATTGATCATCAAATGCATTTTTTGTAAAAAGTATAGACCCCAAATTGAAGCTTTTCAAATAGTCAGTTGGCTGTTACTAGAATGACATCTAGCTTCAGTTATGGGTCTCTTGAGTATGCAAAATGTTATTACAAGGCTAAACTAATTTTTTGGTACAGTAGAGAAATTATTAAGTAAATGAAATGTTGTTGCTGGAAATACAGATTTAAAAGCATCAGTACCAAGTGTCATGTCATTTCCAAATTTCAACTTTTTATTGATACAACAGGCAAAGAAACAGCCATTACTAATTGAAAGCAACACAAATATATGCATTAAATGGAAACAACTTAAAAGCAGGCAAATAAAACTTAGATATTCGGCAATTATTCTGTAATGTTAAAGTTTTAAAAAGGCATCCTAACATGTTGGGTGTTTTTGTTTGTTTCACATGTTTCCTGATCCAGATTTACATTTTTGAAAATAATATCTACTACCAGCCTGATATAAAGAGCAGTTCTTTGCGACTGACATCTTCTGGAAAAGAAGGAATAATTTTTAATGGAATTGCTGACTGGTTATATGAAGGTAAGTTGAACAAATTCAGCTTGAAAGAATACAAATGACATATTTTCATACAAAAATCTACAAAAAAAAGTCTGTTCATTGCAGAGCAATAGTGAGAGCACTGTTTCTTCTCATTTCCTCTCAAAAGTGCCTCATGATTTCATACCTTTGCATGTGCTTATATTTCAACTAGTTGTAATTTACATCTCCTTATATGATTCCACATTTTGTATATATACATGCATATATAAGCTAGATAAATTTTATTTTTGATGGCACTTAACTAGTAAAAGTGAACNATTCTAGGGTTTTACAAGCCTTTTTCTAAAAGAGAAACTCCCTGAGTTGAGCCTGAAAAATTGAGAAGAAATCAGGAAGGAAATCAGCTTGTAAAGACACAGAAGGGTTGTATAGCACAGTGGGTGACTGAGGAACTAAAATCTGCTTGATATTATTGAGGCATAAAATTTCAGACAAAGGAAGACAGCAAGAACCAAGGGATAGTGCCTTCTAACAATGATCTGGGATTTTAATTCTTCTTCTACTAGTAAATGGAGAAACAGAGTTTTTCAAGTAAGGGAGAGACAAGATTAGATCTTCCATATAAATAGGTCATTTTGTCTACAGTGTAGAGCTGGGATCTAATAGCACAAAGAACTAGTGAGCAGCTATAAGCTTGCTTCTATGCTCTATCAAGGGATAATGAGCAATGGAACAAGGATTAAAGCAGTAAGAGGGAGGAAAGATTCTAAAATTGATGGGGCAATAAAATAGGTAGGTCTTAGCAGCTAAACAGATGGGGCAGATGATCAGAAGTCCATAATGACTCAGTGCTTTCTGGTTTGGGTCACTAGCAAATAGTGGTGGCAGACATTGAGCAATCATTCACAAGGAACAGTGGATTTCAAGGAGGAGAAAAGTGAGTAAGAACATGGGCATTTCGGTGTGGGGCATGCTATGCAGGGCAACAAAATGTTCTCTTTATCATCTGTGAGCCTTAAAGTCAACTGAGGGTACACTCAGTGTTAACTCTGCTTTTTTAGCTGACTTGATCTCTGACCAAGATAGCTTGGGGCTGTGTCCTATTGGGAAGGCTTAGTACAGATCATGAGCATTACATTTGTAAGGAAATTTTAAGGGCAGAAATAAGAGGTGATTATGTAACAAATAAGGTAATATTCTTAATTAGAGATTAAAAATCTATGTATTTTGGCTGAAAGTGAACAGTGTGTTGGGGTCGGGGGAGGGGACAGGACAAACAGGTAGGGACAGCCCTCTGAATCTGTGGATTCTGCATCCATGATTCATCTAACCACAGATAAAAAAATATTGGGAAAAAGATGAAAAATATTGGGAAAAAGATAAAAAATAACAATACAACAAGAAAATATTACAGATTAAGAAACTAATATGATATAACAACTATTTACACAGTATTTATGTTTCATTAGGTATTATAGGTAATCTAGAGATGATTTAAAGTATACAGGAGAATGTGCATAGGTTATAGAAAATACTGCATCATTTTATGTTGGGGACTTGAGCATCCACAAATTTTGGCATACAATCAGTCCCCTGTGATGCTGAGGGAGGACTGTAATAAAACTTCTGTGATGACACTGCAGGTCTAACATATTCCAAAGGGGAAATGGAAAAATTATACTTTTTGCTATTCAGACTAAACTCCATACTTTGGACTCACATTGCAGAAATACTAGGAAATTCCGCATATATGTGATTTCATCATCACAACACTGGTATATATAATCACTTACCAAAGAAATGAAGACTCAGGGAGGGTAAGTGACTTAGACATGGCCTCAGAGCTAATGAGAGAGACAGAGCTGGCATGTGAATGTGTGCCGTCTGTTCCCAAAGCCAGTGCTTAGTCACTAGTGCACTCTATTTATATAATGTGATGCCTTTCATTGTTCCCTAAGGCATAGCATACAGTTTGGGGCCCAAGCCATCGGATTTCACTGACCTATTTTCACAGGTAAAGGCTCTGAATCCTACTGTTTATGGACATACTCCAGTTCTTGCTTCTTTTCCAGAAGGAACCCTACCAAGGGAATCATTGTTAAGCTCTGGCAGAGTGACTCAGGTAGTTCAGATGTAATTGATTTTTCCTCAACATTTTGCCTGTGATCCCCAAACATGCTTCTAAAGTACTACATCCATATTAATCTCTCACTATCACTTTGCTTGTCCCACGTGCCAACAGCTCCCAGATTTTCTTTTCCCTTCAACACACTCACCAAGGCACAGTAATGTCTCCTAGGGAATGCATATGATCCTCAACGATATGTGTGTGATTCTCTGGGGTGGAGATTTCCTTTTTGTTACTTTACAGTAGTCAATTATGATCTACATTTTTATATGTGAGAGATTCAGGAAGTAACATGTAACACTTCCACTTTTTTAAAATTAAAATTTCCCTTTTGTAAATGTCATAGAAAATAAAAAGATAAGTGAAGGAGTCACAGAAAGACAATAAAATGTTTTCATGGCAAAATTTAAGAGCATAGCTTAATCTTTTTAGGATCATGCTGACCTGTGAGGGTGGCAGTTGCTCCCAAACACAGTCACAAATGTCAAGTATTTAAAAGTCTTTGAGTATCATTTTCAAGCCTTGTTTTCTCTATTTAGTATTATTCAATTCCTAAGAAATGTATAAACATATAAAACCTAATGCATTTTGAAGGGCTGGTGAAGTTCAGAAAAAATAATAAAATGATCAAAATGGAAGATCATTTTAAATATAATTTGCACAAAGCACATCTAAAGTTATTTATATAAGTTGCTGTGTTTAACATGATAACCTAACTAAATAACATATCAGATTAAAGTTTTATTTTTAAAAACTCTCAAATTTGGTTAAAAAGAAAGTTTACAGTTGCAAAATACACAACTTTGAAAATTTCCATAAAGTATTTAATCTGTTAAATAAAAGAAAAATGAATGACTGCCACTTTCAATTATTTAAGCATATAGAATAATGGAATTAATTTTCTTAAATTATTTATAAATGTATTTTAGAACCTTAAAATTTTTATTATTTTTTGAAATTCAATCCAACAGCTGTGGATCACATATATTTGTCAGGCATATTTGAGAACAATACTCCTACAATGAGAAATAAGGGTTTCTACATGTTGGGTATTTCCAACTTAGTGGAGTGATGAACTGTAAACAGTATTATGTAAGAAACCATCTGGAACATGGTAAATAGAAGTAATAATAGAACTCATGTCAGCATAGTAAATTGAATTATAAAAAGAACTGAGTCTGGTGGGATAGAAGACTCTAAGGTACTTCATAGAAGACATGGTTTTTGTGTTGATCTTCAAGAATGACAAGAATGAGTGAGAAAATAAAATATAGGATAAGCAATATCCTTATCAACAGTTTGTGGTTGTCACACCTTGTTTAAAGAAAACAATACAGAATATCTATTTTCACTTTATTTTTTGCCTTCTCTTGGGCACATAAAGTCACATTTATTCCTCCATTGATTCAACAAATATTTATTGAGCACTTACTAAGTGGCATCTATGGAAATGCAGCCATGGAAACTAGAGGAAGACAGGGTTGTCAGCAGTGCTGAGTCTCTGGAGGTCAAACAAGTGAAGGATTCCAAAGTTACCATTAGATTTGCTACTAGATTATTGATGACCGCAGGCATAATATCAGTCAATTGGTGGGGCCAGAAGCAAGACTCCAGTGGATGAAGGGATAAGTGGGAAGTGAGAAGGTTATGAATATAGACAATTCTTTCAGGAAAGTTGACAGTGAAATGCAGAAAATACAGGGAAAAAAAATCAACCACGGGCCCACAGGGCTAACAGTAGCATCCTCAGGAAATCCTGTCTAAACTGATAAAATAAAAATGGATAAAATCACCTTGCTTTTCAGAATAGCATTTTAATCTGAACACAATGTTTGTATCTTAGTTTTCTGGAAGTGTTTTGTGTTGAGGCTATGTTTTTAAGTGTTTGTGATATAAAATCACATGTGTTGAAAACTCCAGCTGCTCTGCAGTGAAATTTTCTAAATCAGAGTAATAAAAACAATGAAGAGCTAAATCTACACTAAACTGGAATGGAATGCAATTGTTTGTAAATAATATAATATAATTAACATAAGAAGTTTCAATCCATGAGTAAATGTCCCCATTACTTGCAGTGAAAGAAGATTGTGCCTTCTCCACAATGACAGTTAAACAGATGCATATTAAAAATTATTTTATTTATCTCCTTCCTATTCCAGTTAGCTTTACTTTTTCATCTGAAAGAAGTTGCATAACTCTTTGCATACATTATTTTGGTGTGTTAACTTTTTTGTGGGGAAGAAGATTAGGCATAGATCACTCTAAAATAAATGAGAATAGGTGGTACCTAGTTTCTGTTAAATAGTACCCTCAAATATGGGCCATGCTTACTCTTGGTAAGTGCTAGGCACACATATCTCAGCGTTAGTGATAGAACCTACTTCTTAGGATTCCAGATTGTTGCTGTTAGCCAAAGGATCTCTCTGTACTTTCAAATCTCATAGGACTCAGAGTTCACACTCAACTGATCCTTAGAATTTACATTTTTTTGCTCAGTGTCTCATGTGTATAACTCATATCTTGTCAACTAAATAGTAAGTTATTTGTATAAGTTAGGGTGAGGATCATAACTGGAAAAAAATAGCACATTCAAAAGAGTATAATTCAAGGAGGTTTTATCTATGAAAGGGCTATTTATCAAGGACAAGGGATATGCCTCAACCTGTGGCGGGTAATGGTTTATCCATTAACACCTGAAATGGAAAGGGAAGGCAGCAGTCACTAGAAACTAGGAGGGAATCCTGTAGATTTTTCACAGAAGCAATGAATTTTGGTTGAAGAAGACAGCCAGATTTACATGGTTTCAATAGGTAGGAGCCAAGAAAATAAATTTTATACACTCATTTCCTCCCTTCATTTGATTTGTCTGGGTTTCATATTGGCCATACTCAGCAAAAAGTCAGAGACCATG